GGGAGTGTGACAAAGTCGTAAACCAAGAGACCTGACAACTGAACAACTGAGAATTACAACTCCCTATACTGCACCTTCCCAATGGACAAATTCCTCTCAGGTGCTTCAAGGGCCCCAACCAAAAAACAGACGTCTTCAAAAACGCCCAAAAATGTTCCATGGGTTGAAAAATAGTAAACATCGCTATTTTCTTATTTCAAGCCGCCCTAAAACTGTAGATGAAGTGGCTCACCAGCCGGAAGTTGTTGCGGTTTTGAAAAAATGCTTGGATGGCGCTGATGTGAGTTTTTTTTCCTCATTCACTTGCATTTAGCTACCCAACCTCCTTTTCTATGGTCCGCCTGGGACAGGCAAAACCTCCCTTATTCTGGCCTTGGCCAGACAACTATTTGGGTGAGTTTCCTTGCGAGTAGCGTCTTGCACTTTTTGCAGCTACTTAACTTATTTGTCGTATTCAACAATTTTACCTTTCCAAATTTTCTACTTACCAACTACAAAAATCGGATGTTTCGAAAGAATCCGGTCGTTAACATTAGGACTAGTTACTACCCGTGTAACCTCCCAGCATATATTTTATCATTCGTTAATGAACGCGCACCGATCGTTAACCGTTAACAAATGCCGGCCCCATTTCTTTGTAAAGTGTCATATATCGCGTTCTCAAAATTATGTTCTGTGTTTCTGCTTGCTGGTCGCCAAACAAAGCACGTAGCGTGGACTCGGGTGTTGCCATTAGAATAGGGAAGCTAAAATGCGATTAATGCCAGCCAATAGGTGTGGGAACTCCCTTGAAATTTATAAAAGATGCTTCATTGTGTAACTTTCTCCTTTGCCGGTATACAGCCTTAAAGCTGCTGACGCCACCGCGACGTTCCGCAAATGTTTGTATCGTATCCCGTCTGCGATCCTAAAATATGATTTCGTGGTCTCCGAAGGTGATCATTCTATTCCAGAGCAACTATATCAAGCAACATCCTCAGATAGGCCATCAAAGTAACAACCTCCATTATTCTGACCCAACCTTTTGACATCCATGTTAACATCCAGGCCTCCCTTTAAAAACTGTAAGTTTATAGAACCTAATTAACTTTGAGTTTTGTTTTTTCCTCGCTAGGTCCCTGTTTTCGGACCGAGTTTTGGAGCTGAACGCCAGTGATGAGCGTGGTATCGCTGTGATTCGCGAAAAAGTGAAGAGCTTTGCCAGGCTTGCTGTCAGCAGTGGTGGAGCGAGCACTTCGCGCGGACCGCCCCCCTACAAACTCGTCATATTGGATGAAGCGGACTCCATGACCGCGCCTGCCCAGGTCGGTGTTTCCCTTCTTGATCTGTGTATCCATCGCAGCCCCTTTTAAGGACTGACACTGAAGTACCCTGCCCTTACTTTTTAGAACATTTTCAGGTCTGGGCACGTAAGCTCCTTAGCAGGCTTCGTTGTTGTCACTGTAAAATGTTGGGTCTTCCCGTACAGAAGATTCCAGTTATAGGAGCCACGTTTTTTATCCGAGAGTTTCTGATCCAATTACACTAATGGCCAAATCATTTGAAGTTTATTAAAGCGTCAAGTTACCCATTGGCGTCTTCACGTGGAGTCAGTTCTTCAAACTCGAAAAACGGTCATTCATTTCATACTAGAAAAACCACCCTTCTTCTTATAGATTGCATTCAAAAGTCCCTGCGCATGTCTACTAACCGTAAAGCCTGCCACCCCCGTCAGTCACCTTTTTTTTCTCCAGGCATGTCATCCTCATAATCTTTCTGATCAGTTAGTGTTCTTAGCTGATATGCCACAATTTGTGATCGTAGCTTTCCTCCGCCGGTTTTTGCTTTTTGTATTCGGTTCGGCAGGGCAGTTTTGGCTAGCCGTTGCGCAAACAGCCTAACTACCTGTGTATGGCAGCAGTCAACGAAAAGGGAATTATCGATCAGAACTCAAGCTGTTGCTTTTGTCCCCTCCCCCTTTCCCCCATCAAACGTCCGCCGCCGTACAATCCACCCTTAACCCGTCGCTCTGAAGATTTGCACGGCACACTTGCACGTTACCCTGACTGAATGCGCGCGAAACTTGTCGTAATTGGATCATCTAGTTCTCTGTTGACAATAAAAATTGTCCTTCTGACGGTCGCCAAGTGTTTAGT